GGCCCCCAGGATCCCCCGCGCGGCCGCATTCTGAACTAGCTGGAGCCTCCAGGTGCACCTCAAGGGGAGCCCCATGTAGAGAGCGTTGCAATAGTCCAGGCGGGAAACAACGAGGGCTTGAGTGACTGTGCGTAGAGCGTCACGATCCAGAAAGGGGCGCAACTGGCGTATCAGGCGAACCTGATGAAAAGCCCCCCTGACCACGGCCGTCACATGGTCGTCTAAAGACAGCCCTGTATCCAGGAGGACACCCAGGTTGCGGGCCCTCTCCGCGGGGGCTAATGACTCGCCCCCGATAGCCAGGGATGGAGCCAACTGGCTATGTCGTGACGCCGGAAACCACAGCCACTCGGTCTTGGACGGGTTGAGTCGAAGCCTGTTCCTCCCCATCCAGACTCACACGGCCTCCAGGCACCGGGACATCACTTCCGCGGCATCGTTGGGGTGGTCCGAGGTGGAGATGTACAGCTGGGTGTCATCTGCGTACTGATGAAACTCCACCCCGAAACCACGGATGATCTCACCCGGTGGCTTCATATAAATGTTGAACAGGAGAGGCGAGAGGACCAACCCCTGTGGTACCCCACAAGTGAGGCGCCTCGAGGTTGACCTCTGCCCCCCTGCCAACACAAATTGCATCCGGTCCGAGAGGTAGGAGGAGAACCACCGTAAAACGGTGCCCCCCAACCCCCCTAACCGGTGTAACACGATACCATGGTCGATGGTATCAAAAGCCGCTGAGAGGTCTAGCAGGACCAGGATAGAGGAACACCCTCTATCCCGAGCCCTCCAGAGATCATCAACCAACGCGACCAATGCCATTTCCGTGTTGTACCCAGGCCGGAAGCCGGACTGGCGCGAGTCTAGATAGACAGTTTCTTCCAGGTGCTGAGGGAGCTGTCGTGCCACCACACTCTCAACAACCTTCACAAGAAAGCAAAGGTTGGAGACAGGCCGGTAGTTGGCCAAAGCAGCCGGGTCTAGGGAGGGCTTCTTGAGGAGGGGCCTCACCACCGCCTCTTTCAAGGCGACCGGCAAGAACCCCTCACTCAAAGAAGCGTTGACGATTCCCTGGAGCCAGCCTCGTGTAACCTCCCGGGAGGCCAGTACCAGCCAGGAGGGACACGGGTCCAGTAAACATGTGGTGTTCAGCTGTCCCAGCGTCCTGTCCATGTCCTCGGGGGTCACAGGATCAAACTCTTCCCACAAAATGGACTCAAGACCTATCGCTACTAGGTAAGTCCTTAAATGAGACTTTACCAATTTCCGATCGGATTCGGAGCGGGTGGCCCTCCAATTACTCTCTAGGCATCTCTTCCGACGCTTCATCACCCTCAGCTCCTCGGAGAACCAAGGAGCCAAGGTAGACCAGCATCGGGTGAGGGGCCGCAAAGGCACGACCCGGTCCAGGGCCCCTGCGGCCGCACCATTCCAGGCGGCCACCAGGTCCTCAGTTGAGCCGGGGGTCAAGGTCTCAGGTATTGGCCCAAGCTCCGTCTGGAACCTCTCAGGGTCCATCAGGCACCTGGGCCGGAACCATTTTGTCACTTCTGGTTCCGCCTCCCCGCGGTGGGGCGTAGTGGTAGGAAAGGCCAGCCGAAGGAGAGAGTGATCTGACCATGACAGGGGCTCAACAACTATTTCCCCTAAACCATGATCAGTTAACCACTGGCCGGAGGCAAAAACTAAGTCCAGTGTGTGTCCTCCGGTGTGGGTAGGGACATCTACTAATTGGGTCAGGTCCATGGCCGTCATGGAGGCCATGAACTCCTGAGCCACCTCAGATGCTTCACCTAATGATGGCAGATTGAAATCCCCCATGACTAACAGTCTGGGGGTCTCAATCGCCATCTTGGCTATCACATTGAGAAGCTCGGGTAGGGCTGCTGATACATAGCGGGGAGCCAGGTATACAATCAGCACGCCCTGCTGCCTCCCATGACCCCACTTCACACCTAGGGATTCACAACCGGTAGTCTGCGGCACAGTGGTCTCCCTTGGATCCAGGCCTTCCTTAATAATAACCGCCACCCCCCCACCCTGACCCTGGGCTCTCGGCTGGTGAAATGCACGGTAGCCTGGCGGGCACATTTCAACGAGGGGCAGCCCCCCTCTTGGCCCAGCCAGGTCTCCGTAATACTCGCCAGGTCCACCTCCCCCTCCGATACCAAATCATAAATGAGGGGGGCTTTATTAACTGTGGACCTGGCATTACACAGCATCAGCCGAAAGCCCAGGCCCTGAGATCCTAAACCCCCTAGGCTGCAAGAAGAGCCATGGGGGCCGGAGCGCGCCACAGCTCGTAAACAGCGGGTGCGCCCTCCCCTAGTGTGATATGGCCCTCTGCTCCCGCCATATCTACCCCTCCCATACACAGTCTTAATGGAATTGCCCTCTATTAGGCAGACCCCCCCTCCCCAATTCCAGGACCTATGCCCACCTCGCTGAGGCCTTCAGCCGGCCTGGGAGAATTAATTTCAGTTTGCCCACCCCTCTCCCTGGAACCCCCTAAAACCCGGACTAAAAATTTGATTAAAAATCCCCTTAGGTTGCGTTTTGACCACCTCTCGTGATTAAAAAATCCCTTATAGAGGTGGGCCCTCGTTAATGCTGTGGGCCAGACCTGCGAGAGAGGGGACTCTCGCAGGGCATGGAGGTCAGCCGCTGAATACATCACGGGCACACAGTGACCTCCAAAGCAACCCTATATGCCTACAAAGCCCTGTCTATTATCAAGTTCAGTTCTTTTAGCTGGTGCTCTGGAATGGCCACATTCTGGGAGCAGAAGAGTTGCTGAACCTGGGTTCCAGCTAAGCAGCCGTCTTTCTCTCGAAGCCGCAAAGTGGCCTCTCTGGCTCCTTTCTAGGACCGTGATTGCTTCATCCATGAACAGAGCGCAAAAACAGCTGGTCCCATAAGCAAATTTCCAAACCTCCAGCATTCCACTCTGACGATGTTGGCAAAACTAGAGTGGAATGATGATAGACAATCTCAGGCAGTAAAAACTTACAGGGTACAATGATAGACAGTTCCTGGTAACAGCAGCCGGTGTACAATGATGGTAGTCCGTCCCTAGTAACAGCAGCTAGAGCAATGGTAGTCAGTCTCTAGTAACAGCAGCTTGCTTAGAACGATGTTAGCCAGTCTCTAGTAACAGCAACTTCCTTTCGTCCCGCCTGCTCCACTTGACGTCCAGCAAAACAGGACAGAGTCCAAGGCAAGGCAGGTCCAAAGGGGGAGTCCTCAGGGCCAGGGCAAGCCAAGAACAGTCCCCAAAGCAAGGCAAAAGCAATCCTCGAAGCCATCTATGTCCCAACAGCCCGTGAAGGTTTGTGTCCCTTTAAATTTCCACTTTCCTGAGGCAACTTGTAGCTTGTTCTTTTGCAGCCTGGCCTCTCCACGCTGACTCACTTCTTCTAGAGTGTGTGTAAGTTCCGAGCTTCTGGGAAAACCAGCTTCCAAATATAAATACTTAGTACTTTGAGATTAAAATGCAATGTTAAAAAGAGTTAAAAAATAAAAAATTAAAAAAGTTAAAATAAGAATAAAATAATGTTTTGCTTTTGAGGAGCTCCTTACAGCCTTTGCTGCCTTTCCACCATCTTCCAGGTTGCCTACGTAGGTCCTAGATAATTAAGCAGTGTATGAATTTATTTTACCTGTTTTAGAAGCTTGAACAAAGATAAATAATAGTGCCCTTAAATGTGGAAGTGGATAATTTGATTTGTGTAGCAAATCTTGCAAGAGACAAATGCAAACCATTGTTGCTAAGGATATTTCTTTTGTGGATTGTTTTAGGCATTTGTAGTGAAATAATACTGAGACCCAAGGAAATTTCTCAAGAAGAACTTTTAGATCTCACTGGCAAATTAAACAAGGATTCAAGAGTCAGTGGCATATTAGTCCAGTTACCTTTGCCAGGTAATGAATTCTGTTTCATATGGAGTCAGAAAGTGGAATGACTTGAGAATATATGAGAAAAATGCGGTTAAACTAGTACCTCTGTTCTGGCACAAAAGGTTTATCAATGATCAATTTCCTTAGGTCATTGTTGTCTTTACTAGTATTTATTTTTCTAATGATTTTTTTCTCTAAATATTTGTTATTTCTGTCACATTGCTTAATTCTTTACAAGCATAGATAAAATCTGATTGCCAATTGCCATATATTTTATCAGTAGGACATCCCTGCAGGTGGCAACAGATTGGTCCTGTCCTTTCCAAATATTTTCCCCAAATTAGCAATAGCTCCAAGAGAAAGTTCACTTTAAATTGCCATGAATGAAGCTGAGAGAACCATAAAAAAGAAAGTCTTCCCAAGTATCTTTTATTTAAGGCCATAGAGGGCTTTCCTGGCAATAACCAGCATTTTTGGAAAGAAACTAGCAGCCAGTTTCTGTATTCTCTTAATACAGAAATATTCTGAATTCTTCTAAAGTCAGGACTGTCTGGAGTATAGATCCAAAAACAGCACAACACAGAGTTAAGCCTAGAGCTTATCAGTGCTGGCAGCTCTGTTCTAAAATCATCTTCCAGGAAAAGGATGTTATTGAAACATTCACTGAAACATTCGCCAAAGGGCTGCCCTGGCCATCGCTGCAGCGTGGAAAAAGAACGTATCTCTACTTGCTGTCTTGGCTTTGTATAACCACGTTCACAACTGGCAGATCTACTATCTCCTGAAATTATGAAACTTCACAAAAACCACTTTCATTTTGCCTTGATTCTGTTTCAGCATGTTGAATCCTTTATTCCTTTTCTTAAAATATGATTTTATTAAATTTCAGAAGCATGAATAAAAACTAAACAAGCAAGAAAAATAGAAAAGAAAGAACAAGACAAAACTCAAGAAAAAAGTGTGAAGAAAAGAAGAAAGGAAAAACTAAAGACAAAAAGAATGGCTTCCAACTTTCTTTGGTACAAATGTAGATAAAAGTCCAACACTTAGTCTAAAATTAACAATTGTCTATATTACTTCTGTAATCCCATATAATTCTAATAATTAAATTCCAAAATCAGAATTTCATTTCTCTCAGTTTTTTGCAAAAAGTCCAAAATTCGTTTCTAAATAGAAATCAAACTGCTTTTCTTTTCTTTAATCAAAGCTGTCAATTTTGCCATTCTGTCAATTCCTTCAGTCTAACCATCCATTCTTCTAGATATTGCAAATCCTTCACCTTCTTGCATATAGGATTCTTGCTGTGGTTATTGTATATGAAAGAGTTTTTCATTCCCAACTGCACATAGGCATTTGGAGAGCCACTTCATTATCAACCATTACCTGGTAGTGGTATAGAAAAATAATTTAAGTGTCATCAATATATCGGTAATACCCAACTTCAAAATTTCATAGATATTGGTATATAGATATCGGTAATACCCAACTTCAAAAATCATAGATATTGAAATGCACAGAATTGGAGACTTGATTTTATATCATGCAATTGTCCATTTCATAGAATCATAGGGCTGGAAGGGACCTGCAAAGTAAGGCACTATCATATTCCATCCTGGACGGATGGCTTCCCCAATCTTTTCTTGAAAACCTCCAATGATAGAGTACACTGCTCCATTGATTAAATGGTCCTCACTGTCAGGAAATTTCTCCTTACTTCCGGGTCGGAGCTCTCTTTAAAAGCTCACACCCTTTACTTCTTGTCCTGCCCTCAGGTGTTTTGGAGAATAAGTTGACCCTATTTTCTCTGTGACAGCTCCTCAAATACTGGTAGATAGCGACTATCATGTCATTTCTAATCCTTTGTTAGGCTAGTTCCCGTAACCATTCATCATCATATGGTTTAGCTTCTAATCTCCTTATCATCTTTATTGCTCCTCTTTGCAGTCTTTCTAGGACCTCAGCATCTTTTTTTTGTATCATAGTGACCAGAACTGGATACAGTGTTCCAAGTGTGATCTCACCAGTGCAATATAAAGTTTTACTATAATTTCCTGTGATCTTGATCCTATCCCTCTGTTGATGCAGCCAAAGACTGCATTAGATTTTTTGACTGCTATAACACACTGCTGGCTTATACTTAAGTGATGGTCCACTAGGACACCAAATCCCTCTCACAGTTACTATTGTTGATCCAGGTATTGCTTATTCTGTACCTGTGTATTTGCCTAAAGACAGGAACTTACCGTACTTTTCTCGCCTCAATGGATCTTGTTGGAGATGGCCCAGTGCTCAAGTCTGTCAAGATCCTTCTTAATCGTTATCTTTCAAAGCGTTGGCAATGCCCCCAACTTGATATTGCCTGCAAGTTTTATGAGTTCCCCTTCTATCCTCTCATCTAGATGATTTGTGAAGATGTTGAAGACCATTGGGCCCAAGACAGAACTTTGAGGAACTCCACTGTAGGCTTCCCACCATATAGATGGAATTTCATTGAGGACTATATGCTGGGTGCAGTTGGTAAGCCTACTACAAATCCATCTGGCGGCGGTACTGTCTATCCCACATTGTTCTATCCCAGTGAGAAGTAGGATAGAGGTCTTCTTTATCAAATGTGTCACTGAAATCCAAGTAAGCTATATCCGCAGCATTTCCCCGATTCACTAATTTAATCACTTTATCAAACAAAGCAGTGAGATTTGTCTGGCATGATATATTTTTAACAAACACATGCTGGTTTCTAGTGATCACTTTGTAGATGCTCACAAATCTGCTGCTTGATTATCTTTTCCAGGTATTGATATCAAGCTGATTTTTCTGAAGTTTCATGGATCCACTTTTTTCCCCCATCTTGAAGACTGGAACCATTCAGCTCTTTTCCAATCCTCCGGCAGTTTCCCTGCAGTCCAGAGCTGTGAAAGATTTTGTTCAATGGTTCTGAAATCACATCTGCCAGGTCCTTCAGTGCCCTGGGATGTAAACCATCTGGTCCTGGTGATTTGAACTCTTCTAAAGTGGATAGGTATTCTTTTGCCAATTTTTATCCATTTTCACCAGCACTCCTGTTCTGTTTTCCCTCTGTTTTTGATAGCTTGGTTATTTTTTTTCTCTTTTGCATAAAGACAGATGCAGACAAGAAGTTAAGTAGCTCCACTTCCTCTCTGCTGCCCATTGCCTTCTTGCAGTCTTCTCCCACTAGTGGACCTATCATTTCCTTGACTTTTTACTTGTTCCTTTCATATTGAAAGAAACATTTTTCTTATTTTTGGCATTTGTTGCAAGTCTTAGTTCATTCTGAACTTTAGCCTTCATGATTCCATCCTTGCAGATTTAGGCTATTTGCTGGTATTCTGTTTTAGTTATATGTCCCTGTTTTTCATTTTTTATACTTTTTTGTTCCTCAGTTTGTCAGAGAGCTCTTGTGCATCCATGTTTATCTCATCTGATGTATTTTGTTCTTCTTTCTCTGATAATTGTTTTTGTTTGGTCCTTTAGTATTTCAGTTTTTAGAGTTTCTTATGTATCCTGAACTGTTTTTCCTTCTAGGATTTCCATTCATGGATTCCTTCCTAATTTGTCTCTTGTTTTATTAAAGTCCGCTCTCTTAACATCTAAAACACTGGTTTGGCTGTGCCTTTATTATGGTGAATTCTAATATGACATGCTTATTCTGCCTCCACAATCATTTCATTGTGACTAGTTAGTATTAAGTCCAGAAAAGCTGATTCTTTAGTTCCTGCCTCCACTTTTTGGGCAACAAAGTTGTTAGCTGCCAGATCAGGAACTAATTTGATCTCCCATAGCTTGCAGTTTGTTTCTCAGTTAATGTCAGGTAGTTAAAGTCCCCCATTGCTACAATGTACTGTTTCTTGCACACTTCAGCTAACTGATTAGCAAAGGGTTCATCTATTTTCTCCACTTGGTTAATACTACATGCCTGTAGTACATGCCTATGACAATGTCATTTATTTTTCCTCTAATATTTACTCAAACACTTTCAAGAAAGTTTTCATCTCTAGTATTTCTGTAGTGGTGTAGTCACTGTTTACATAGAAAGCGACTCTTCCCCATCTTTTGAGTTGGTTCTGGGTTTTTTGAACAATTTATAGCCTCTAGCAGTAAGTTCCAATCATGGATTTCTTCCCATCAAATTTCAGTAATATCAGTAATAACATATCTGCCCTCATATACTCGAATCTCAAGTTCTCTCTGTTTGTTGCCCAAACTCTGAGTATTAGTGTACAGGCATCTGAGCCTTTTATGGCTGACCTTCTGTTTGTTTTCTACATCTCATATTCTATATCTAAGTTTCCAGTCCTTCTCACCATTCCCTTTCTCGCTGTCTGATTGGTTGTCTTGGGGATTGTACTTAAAGATTGGTCTCCCTGCCCTTGCATTTTTTGTTTAAAGCCTTTTGGATGAGCCAAGGTAGTTGTTTTCCAAACACATTTTTCCTGGTTCTTGTAGCATGCAACCCATCTCTTGCCAGAAACCCTTCCTATAGGTAATGTAAACCATGGTCCAAAAATCCAAAGTTCTCTCAGTGGCACCATCTCTTGAGCCAGTGGTTTACTTCTAGAATCCTCCATTCCCTCACTGGGTGTTGACCTTCCGTTGGAGATTAGAACATCACCTGTGCTTCCAAATGCCTTGCTTTTCTGCCTAGTTGCTCACAATTGTTTTCAGGCTCTTAATTGTTGGACTTGATTATTTTAGTAAGCCTCTCTGTCACATCTTTAATCCTTGAACCTGGGAGACAACACACCACCATTATTGTTCGGTCTGTTCCCCTGAGTAGTGAGTCATAGATCATTATCACATACTTTTATCTCCCCCTCCCAAGTTTAAGCTATTGTCACTGGACCATTTGACAAACACTCTTTCCATGTGTCTGCATATTTTCTTCCAGATGGAGAGTATGAAATTGATTATTCAGCTCCAGTGGCAGGAACAGCTTTTTTATATTTTTGACCTTTGAGTGACTTGCTGCCATTGTCCTTACTGTTTCTTGATAGTTATTTCTTTTTTGTTGTTTCGGTTTGGATACAGACTTCTGCCTTTATTAGGAGTTCATCATATTCACCAATGAGTCTTGGAATGTCAAGTTTCAGAATGGCTAGCTTTGCCCGCAGACTCATCAGATTTTCTTTAAGTAATCCAATTAATTTACATTTGATGCAGATGGGCAGGAATACAAACATATTGCATCCATTGCATGAAACTACATTTTTCCATGGATTTGTTATTCTTCATACAAATGCTTCCAATAATACTATGGTTTTCTTCTTGTAACTCCACAAGAAGCAGGCAAACTGAATCTTTATAAAACAATCTTATCTGTGTCAAAGAGTTAATTCTGCAACATTATTTCTGATTTTAAAAAAGCTGATAAAAATTAATCTTTTGCCCCCTCTTGTGGTTAATGCTGAAATTACACTTCAATATAACGAAGCAAAACTGATAAAACTGATAAAAATTAGTCTTTTGCCCTAAATCACATGATCTTCTGTTAAAAACAAATCTTTCGTTCAGATTAGCATTTTGCTCCCTCTTGTAGCTAATGTTGAAATAATACTTATATACAATGGAGAAGGGCAAATTAGGTTTCTTTGTTTCCTTAGTTCACAGTTTACAATCCTCAAAAAATTGCAACTTTGTTTTGTAATTAATGTGAGCAAAGCCTTGCTTTGCAGTTAGCGTAAATACAGTTTAAATTTCTCAAAAATTTTCAGCTTCGTTTCGCAGTTAGTGTCTAAAAAAAATAAAAAATATATAGTCTGAAAACCAGAGGACCGTTCATAAGAAGAGAAAATGTATAGGCATAGGTTTGTAGTTGGTATAAAAGAGCATAGAAAATAAATCCAAGTGCTGTGGAGTTGTAATGTTTGTCTCTTCAGCATAACAAAGGGAAGGGTAGGTTATAAGTGAAAAAAAAACTCTCTTTTTAAAATGCAAAAGACAACTAAGTGACAAAGGAACTCAAGGTGATTTTGATTTAGTGTTTGCCTGTTTTTGCTGAGGAATTTTTTTGGGGGGAGGAGGGGGAGGAAAGCAAAAAGAGAACAAAGAGAGTCCTGATTACTACATGTCTCACCCAGGTAAAACTTTCATTTTCCACAAAGTCTTTTCTTCTCTCCAAGTTTGGTCTTTTCTCCATCACACAATTTCCTGTGGGTCTTTTCAGCTTGCTTGAGGCTGTTGAGGCTTTTAATCCATTCATGTGCTGCCAGAGATGCCTTGCATTCCTGGTACCAGTCCCTCCACAACTTCTGAGTTGCATCTGTTTCCAAATAACAACATCTGAAACCTTTCTAAGGAATAGAAATGGAATAGAAATGCAATGGAAATGGAATCACTTTAAAGCAGAAACATATATTATTACCAAACTTCCCAGGTGATCCAGAAGGAGGCTGCAATGGTCAGTGGTATCAAAACCTGCTGAAGCACTACTACCAATCCTCAGGCATCATTCAGCAAGCCAACCAAGAAAGTCTTAACTGGTTTGCCATCAATAAAAACCAATTTGAAATGGTTCAAGGTACAATAATCTGTCTAGAAGTATTTGTAGCTGAGAAATCTCTACTGTATTCATCTGTCTTCGGAAGATCAGAAACTGATTTGAAGCCATCTCCAATAAATTTAAAGCAGGCTTAAGAAGAGATCTTATAATTGTATCTTTTAAACATTATTTTCAACATTAAACTCAGTTAAAAATTAAATTCATTTTGTCCCTCCTCCCCATCTCCAAATTATAGCTGGTATAGATGCTACTTTCAGATATTGATTATATAGTTACATTGCACTCACTTATATTGATGGAATACACACAACTTCTGGACACAAGCTGTTCCACTGAATATAAGAACCACCCCTGGTCTTTATAGCATGTTCTCATCATAAATATATACATTTGAATGATTATAATACAGAGGGCAGCTCTTGCAATATAAGCAACGTGTTCTAGGCATTAGCAAATTCAAAAAATGGAGAGATATTTCATCATGCTTGACATTAACTGAGGATGTCAGTTTTGGTGTTCCAGAATAACAAGGATGGGAAATTGGTCTGAAATCAAATTTGCAATGATTTAACACATTTCTAAAAATGAATTTGTTGAGGTCACCTTTATTAGCCCTAGAAGCACAAAATTTCCTACTATCAATTAGCCTATTAGAAATTTGAGTAATTTGAATGGTGTATTATGTTTTTAAGCTAAAACATCCTAAAAATAATTTCAAATGCTCGTAGTACATATCAGAAGAAATATCAAATCATGATAGCACCAGTAACTGTGAGAGGAATCTTAATGTGATCAACACCAGTAACTGTAACAGGGATCTTGGAATCCTAGTGGACAATCACTTAAATATGAGCCAATTATGTGTGGCAGTAATCAAAAACGCCAATGCAATCCTGAGCTGCATTAACAGAGGGATAGAATTAGGAACATTTGAAGTACTACTACTACTTTACAAACCCTTGGTAAGGCCCTATTTGGAGACACTGCATCCAATTTTGGTCACCACAATATAAAAAAGATGTTGAGACACCGAAACAGTGCAGAGAAGAGCAACAAAGATGGTTAGGGGGCTAGAGGCTAAAACATATGAAGAATTGTTGCAAGAATTGGGTATGTCTAGTTTAATGAAAAGAAGGACCAGGGGAGACATAATAGCACTGTTCCAATATTTGAGGGGCTACCACAAAGATGAGGTATTTTCCAAAGCACCAGAAGGCAAGACAAGAAACAATGGATGGAAACTAATCAAAGAGAGAACCAACCTAGAACTGAAGAGAAATTTCCTAATGGTGAGAACAATTAACCAGTGAAACAGCTTGCTTTCAGAAGTTGTGGATACCCCATCGCTGGAGGTGTTTAAGAAGAGATTGGACAGCCACTTGTCTGAAATGGTATAGGTCTCCTGCTGGAGCAGGGAAGACCTCCAAGATCCCTTCCAACTCTGTTATTCTGTGTTTTATGATCCCATTTGAGTAGGATGAAGGATTTGTTTCAATAGTCAGCCATATCACTATAGATACATTATACCCGTCTCTAGTCCCCTTTCTTGGAGCGATTGGCAAAAAAACAATCAGAACAGTACTTTTCCTAACCCAGGATCCCCAATAGAAGGACATCTTAAAGCAGTGATGGCGAACCTTTTAGAGACCAAGTGCCCAAACTGCAACCCAAAACCCACTTATGCATCATCGGGTGCCGGGTGGACGTGGCCCATTGGCTGGGTGTGGCCAATTGGGGGTGTGTGGCCCATTGGCTAGGTGTGGCTGCGGTGGTAACGGCAGACTGGGTGGGACTAAAAAGTTCAATCAATCAATTCCAACTTTGCAAGATCTTTTTTTTTCCCCGCAAGAAGTTGAAATTGATTGATTGATTGAACCTTTTTTTTTGTACACGACACCAGAGGCCTAAAGCGAAAAGGTTGTATAAAACCCAGCTAAAGGCCTAGGATTGGGGCGACGGTGCGCGCGCCCACAGAGAAGGCTTTGAGTGCCGCCTCTGGCACCCATGCCATAGGTTCGCCACCACTGTCTTAAAGGCTTTTAGTTAACAGTGCTACACGAATCCTACATATTTCCTGAAAATTACATTTGTCAGAGAATAATACTAGATTTTAAACTGTTTTAACAAAGCATAAGCATTGTTTCTTTCTTGAGAAGAAAAATAATATTTGCTGGATTCAGAAACTTTTTCCCTGCATACCAGAAAATCAAGGACATCCTTTTTCTGATAGAGAAAGAAGGGATTTCTTACATATCCTGTGGAAACATTTGACCATTATAGGGGAAATGGCCTCTCTTTTAGTTCTAAATGTGATGTATTTTTTTATTGAGCAAAATTAAATGCATATTTTCCACCCATCCCCACTGGATTAAATTAAGATGTGACTAGTTAGTGGAATCAAAATCAGGAGTCCCATTATAGACGCTTAACTCTTCATATGAAATTACCTCCTTATATATTTACATTTACCTTTAAAAACAGGCACAATACATGAAACAAGATAAATAACAACCATTAGGCTAACTGTATTTTAAAGTAAGAACTAAATATAGAAAAACAAATTCTTTTTTTTTCCAGATCACATTGACGAAAGGACTGTGTGCAACAGTGTTGCTCCTGAAAAGGATGTGGATGGATTCCATATTTTCAATATTGGGCGATTGTGTCTTGACCAGCCCTCCGTTATACCTGCCACTGCAGCTGCAGTTTGGGAAATAATAAAAAGAACCGGTAACCAAATCAAGCATTTTAAGGAGATGGAGGTTAAGTGCATTCTGGAAATTTCTCTGAGAAAAAGAAGCATAAGCTTAAACTATAAAATACCCAGAGCACCATTCTTTCAAATAGTTTCAGCACTGAAATAGGTTTCTTTTAAAATTTGATTAGCACTGCTAACCCTATCATATCTAGACTGCAATCTTGGAAATTTAAACTCATTCAGAATTGTTAGATATTTCCTGACCATGTTTCTATCAATCTAAAATTTTAATCTTGCCCTTTTATTCTGCTTTTAATTGCCTGATGGAACTCTCTTGTGAGAAAAGTCTAAGTCGGTGTAAGTTGAATAGTTCTTCCTGTTCTTATATGTTGCTGTTTTCACTGGGCAGCCCACATATTGGTCCTGTTTTCTTCCTTTTATTTTTAATTGATCCAAAGAAGAGTTCCTTGCTCTTCTTAGTCAGTTTGCAAACTCATTCAGATTTCTGAAACTATTATTTTTTTTAATTGAGTACTTCTTTGTACTCAGGTGATGTTGCTTCTTTCTAACTCATACAGTGTCTTTTTTTTAAAGATGTTACAAAGCTTTTTGTATCATCACACTGTTTTCTGCTGTTTTTCATTATTTTTTTCTTATTGTGTGCTGAATAGCACTAGCAAACTACTGTTTGTTCTCCCCATTCAAATGCTCAGTGAATTTGGTCCTCGGAACTGGTTATTTATTCAATTTATATTGAACAGAAGCAGAAGCCACTCCCATCAGATCTGTCGAGTGGATGCGCCCAGGCCGGGCAAGGGCTTCCTTCCAGCTATCCCAGAGCTGATTCCGCCCGCACCGATGTGGCTCTGTGGGAGCCACATCGGTGGCTCCCACAGACAGGACAGCCAGCATGCTGTGGCTGCTGACGGACACCATCGGCCCTCATGCACTCACTGGCCTCTGTGTGCAGGGGCCAATAGTGTCAAGCAGCAGATCCAGAAGCGAAGCTCTGCCGACTATTCTTCCGCTGGCGGAAGCGGCAGGGAAAGGCAGGATCTGGCATGCGGGCACCCTTTGCTGCTGCCGCTGCACATTGTCCCGCATGCGCCTCTGGGTGGGGAGGGGAGGGGATGTGCCACAGCTCACCTTCCCCTGCCGCTGCCCCCACCAGCGCGAGGATGGTTGGCACAGCTTCGCTTCCAGATCTGTGGCCGGTGGGCTTGGCGATGTCGGGATCACTGCCGCCTCCTCCTGCTTCCCTGTGTGGTTGGCCGGTCAAGGGGCTCAGAGCAGCAGCAGCTGCCCCCATCAGCCACCATGTAGACAGGGCCCGCACCAGGTGAGGGCTCCTTTCCGGCCATCTCAGGGCCATCTCCCCTCACGCTCATGGGGCTGCACTGCAGAAAGGAGATGGCTTCCCCCCCAGCCCCCTGCCCGGTGCCCCTTCTATGCAATCCTATGTGACCGCAGTGTGGATGAGAGGCTCAGCCAGCGGGAGGGGCAGCTTTCCTCCACAGAGGCATCCCAGCCCTCCCGTCCCCACAGCCAGACCACCTCACCTTCCCCTAGCTGGGACCTGATAACCCCCACCCTCCTGCCCCCACCCCAGCTGATCCCCTGAGCAGCTCAGCCTGACCAAGATGGAGGGAAGGCGAGGCAGAGAACTGGTTGTTAAAATGATTTTAAATCCACCACTGGTCGCTTCCAAAGGCCGATCACTCACTCTCCCGCCAAAACTGCTCCTTTTATAGGTTCCCTCACCCCGCCCAGCTCTTGCAGCTGTTCCCGGACTGCGCATGTGTGGAGAGGGGGAGGGGAGGAGCCCAGCAATGGTACGCATGCCCACAGGGACAGCTCTGCGTGCCGTCTGTGGCACACGTGCCATAGGTTCGCCACCACGATCCTAATACATTCTGAAGTATAAGCAGAGTGTTAATTATCTACAATACTTCCAATATGACTTTGTTGTGTTTCCTCCGTGAAACAGAATAGGGTTAGATATCATTATTGAACACTTACAGTCTTTCTACTAACTGTTCCCATCACTTTGTGGCTTAGAAGAAACCATTACAGAAGACAATGGGGCAAGCTATATAGACTTTAAAAAGGGGGGGCCAGGAGCTGTGTGCGTATGTGTGTGTGTGCGCACGTGCGCACCCAAGTGTGTTTTTTTTTACCATCAGAAAGAACAATAGCAAGGGAAGATGCTGTTGTATTTATGGGTAGAGAATTTGCTCCAGATAGAAATTTATGGCAGTGAAGTGTTTCTTCTAAGTGCTTCTAGTGAAGTGTTCCGGTTTCTTGGCACACATGCTTTCTATCTGTGTGATTTTTAAATTCCAGAAGTAATAATGGAATGGCAGTTCAGTTATACAGATGCTGTTTTGAAAATGAAGTCTGAGCAGCAAGTATAGAATAAGCTTTCTTGAATTATCTTGAGCATATTAACACAGCTTATTCTTCTTAGCTCCATGTTATGGTATCCATCTTCTCCTTAGTGATCACATTTTGCTTTTATATAAAGTAAACTTAAAATACTAATTTTAACAATGAACAAAATAAAATTGCAGCTGACTAAAATTAAGACTATTGTCTTAAAAACATACATTCAACTTTTTGTAATAATAATAGCCACACATTATTTAATGCAATTGAATAATTATTTAGTTATTCATAAAAACTGAAAACTGTAAAAACCTAAATTTACCACTCTTATTATAATTCCATGGTGAAAAAGGAAATTAAGGTGGTGTCCTGTCTTTTCCCACTATGAAAACAAAATATTTAATTTCCATATGTTTTTAGTTATGTTTATTTTTCTTCAAGGAATACAAACATTTGGAAGAAATGTAGTTGTGGTTGGAAGATCAAAAAATGTTGGAATGCCCATTTCAATGCTTTTGCACACTGATGGGGAACATGAAAGGCCTGGAGGTATGTTGAAGAATATTTTACTTTATTCTATTGGAAACCTTAACAGGGAGAGAAGGAAAAGAACTAAAAAAAACCACACCTCATTCCTTATTGTGTATGCAGTAAAATCAGTTTTACTTAATCAGAAATAAGACTTTCTTTGGGAATAAATTTATTTTGTAAATAAATAAATATCCTGCTGCCACTGGTGATAAATGATAAGCTTGTACTGATATCCTTTTTCTTTTTATCACTTTTCCAGAATTCTTAAGATTGGAGGGGTGGGATTATATTCTGTTTTGCACTTATTTAAAAGACTAAAAACTTTTTTTATCAATAATATTGCATTAAAAATAACATGAGACAACTAATGTTTTTGTTTAGCAGTACAAAACTCCATCTTTATGCATAGGATGTAATTCACTTTTTCAAAAAAACCAACAATATGTGCCTTTTCCCCCCCTCTGTCTTTTCTCTATACTGCCTTTTTTACTTTAGTTTTCTTCTTTTTGCTGACATCTACTCCCCTGCAATTGCTTTACACCAGTCCAACTTTTTCCATCTTTCTGCCCTATGCTCCTAATAAGGAAGACTCCCATTAAGCCTTTCTTTAATACAGTATGAGTAATTTGTTATTTTTCAGGTATCCCTTTTCCTTCAACCTTATCGCTATTATTCTTGCAGAATATTGCCTAACAAAGACTTTCTTTGCTGTCAAGTGTAAACAAAATCTGAGCAAAATTTCTAGAAAACTAGATCTTTCTGCTGTAGGCTTAAAAAATCTGGACAACCAAAAGATGGCAGCAAAGAAAGACAAATTACTTTAGTTCTGCTGCCAGTTAACAAACATTCAGGTTTTTATAGACCAGATCTGGTAGACCTTCATAAAGCTTTTTATGTTTTTCTTTCCAGGGATGCAAACTGTTAACAGGCTAGACTTTCATGTCTTGCATGAGTTGGATCCCAGGTTGTGAAACAAAAACATAAGGATGAGAGAATAACTCATCTAGGCCAAACTGAACTTCATTTCCTGATATCTATTTTCTATTGATTAATAACATCTCTGGGAGTTTTTAAAAAAGTAATCTTGTTTCTTCTCAGTCAGCATACTGTCAATCTTGGGCAATGTTTAATGATATTTAAGTAAGCTGATTGCTTACTTAGCATAAGAGAGCAAGCATCAATAAAGATGACTTTTTTTTAATTGTAGAATGGGATCTCCCTGTCTTTGTGGACTATACTCCCAAAGCAGTCAAAACAAAAGGTTGGGCAGAATCAGAACAAAGATTATATCTAATTGATATTTAAATGAATGAATGCATTTTATTGCAATAATAACACAAAATGAAACATATATTGACATTGATGTTCTACACATTTTTGTTTACAGCAATTTGGAGAAGGGTTTTCGAAAGGCACATATAGCCCTGGGTTATGCAGTTTTATTTAATTGGGTTCTAAAAATAAATATTTATAGCCCAGAGCCTGGTGGCTTCTGATGAATTCCAAATCAAAGAAAGTCCTGTAATGCAAACCGTTCATATATCTACACCAGAATGGTAATTTTAATTATAGCTGCGAAATAGCAATAATTTTTACTATTATGCATGTGACAGGTGACGCTACTGTAACAATAACCCATAGATATACACCAAAAGATCAGCTGATGATCCATACACAGCTTGCGGACATTGTGATAGTTGCTGCAGGTGAGGAGTACTGTCAGTTTTTTAAATTCATACAATGGAATTAAACATCAGTATTATGCTGTTTCTGTAATTCAAAATGTAGTGTGTTTTTGCTAAAACAAAATTTACTAAGATAATGTGAAAATCAATGTAGATTTTAAATGTAATAGTATGCAATTACAATTAATGCAAATTATATCATCTAAAATGGCTGTGGAGCATTCAACAAAACTTTAATCTCAATTTACTATTCTCCTTTAGTTTTTCTTAGTTTGCTTTTGTTTTAATTTTTTTAAATTGGCAATTTGACAATCTTTTTTTTTAAGCCCTATAAACTACATCAGAGAGAGGCATGGTTTTGTGCCTCTCAAAATCCCGTATATATGCATGCATATACATGTGGTCACTCACACATACACATATACAGACATACAAACACAAACATAAACACACACACATGGATATTTTCCTTCACATCTCCTCATCCCAAACACAAATCCTTGTACCCAATCATGCAACATATCCATACACCCCAATCTATTACTTAATGAGCTGATGGGTTGCAGGAGAATTAATACTGCCCCCTTCCCAGGGAGTCTTAAACTTCCACCTTGATTTGTGGCGTTCATAAAGTAATAGTCTTGCATGGACAAAAATGCCATTCCTATACTAGATAATAAAAACAAGTCACAGTTGTGTGACTGAGTGGAATTTTTCTTTGTTTTTCTAAATCACTAAGTTTTATTTAGGTTAAGAGATTGTGTTTGTATTACTTTTAAGAAAAAAGAAGCTTATTTCAAAATTAGTATGTTCGTAGTAGGCTAGATACACCAATGTTTCTATCTCAATTTCTTGTATCATCCATCATATTAAGTTCCAAAGATGTCCATATCATATCAATTTTAGACCATGATTTATGTCTAATTTGAGTAAAATGTATATTGTAATTTCTTTGGATTTTTCTCTCTCCATATATCTTGGATACAGAGTTCTTCTGTCATTTTTAAAAACGCTTTAGGTAATATATTTAACCCTTTTTTACCTTGTTTGGCGCTTTTGTAGTCCAAAATTCCCTATGTTATTGCATTAAAGTCTCCATTATACAAAGATTTTGATAGTTTAAATCTAATATTTTTTTATATAGTTTTTGGTAAAATTGTTCTTGTTTATCATTTGGTGCATATATTGCTACCATCAGTATCTGTTTTTGATCCAACATTATTTCCACCATTAATATTCTCCCCTCTTCATCCTCATAGATTTGTTTGGGGTTCATCATTTCTTTTTCTTTTTTTTAAACAAAATTTTATTGATTTTTATAATTAAACAACAAATACCAATATGATGCATTTACATACACAAGCAATAAAAAATAATCCAAATCAATACATTTTCGGAGACGCTTGGCGGTCCCCGCCTTACCTCCACCCTCATTCACTTTCCTCTCCTTCCTCCCCCTAAACTCACAACCTCTCCTCCTTCCTCCTTTCCACCTACCTACATCCCCTCTCCCTTCTTAACCGCCTCTTCGAGTGCAGTTTGGGGTGCCAGCCGAGCATCTCCTCTTTTCAATACAGTTATTATTTACCTATAACATATAAATATATCAATTTTTATAATTTCAGTCCCCTAATCCCCTTCCCCCCTCCCCCCCTGACTTCCCAGAGCTGAGTACAGGATTAAGCATATAGTAATCCAAGTTTAACCCAAACAACCCAATCATAATATAAACAAGTATAAACTTACTTTAACGCTAAGATACAATCACCTTAACTATGAACTATATATGTAAATTATATATAAAAATATTTATAAGTAACAATAATTAATCAAAAGCTATATGATAATTGTTCATTTCATATTTTCTCTGAATATAATCTATCCATCTTCTCCATACCAAAATAAATTTCTCTTGATATTGATCCTTCAGGTATGCAGATATTTTTGCCATTTCTGCAAAATATGAAACTTTCTGTCTCCAGTCATCCATATTCGGTAATGTCTCCTTTTTCCAATTTTGAGCAATCAATGTCCTTGCTGCTGTTATACAGTACAACATCAAATTCACTTCTTTTGAGTCCAGATTGTCCATAATGCCCAATAGAAATAATTGCGGTGTAAATTTTATCTTCTTAAAAATCTGTTGAAGATTCCACCAAATCTTAATCCAAAAAGCTTTAACATCCCTACATATCCACCAAATATGATAATAAGTTGCATCCAAATTACCACATCTCCAACATTTTGGCTGCAAGTTTGGATACATGCAAGACAGTTTTTGAGGGTCCAAATGCCATCTATAAAACATTTTATAAAAATTTTCCCTTAAATTCCGTGCTTGAGTGAACTTGACATTTCTTACCCAAATTATTTCCCATGTTTCTAACATAATTGACTTTTGAATATTTTGAGCCCATTTAATCATACAATCTTTAACTAATTCTGTTTCCGAATCAAGTTCTATCAAAACACTATATATTCTCCTAATATGAGCTCTACTTTGATCTTTAATCTGTCTTATCAAGTTCACATCTTCTAATGCCAAGCCTGACTTTTGATCTATGCGCCATCTCTCCACCAACTGGCTATATAGGAACCAGGACTGGAGAATATTATCTTGTCTCAATTCATCCAATAATTTAATTTGCCAGTCCTGTCCCCTTAAAATAAGAAGATCCTTATACACAATTCCCTTTAGTTTAACTCCCCTTGTAATTCCTTGTATTGCATGTTCCGGAATAGCCCACATTGGGATTTTAAAACTTAACTTATAATGATACTTTTTCCAAACTCTCAAAAGCGCAGTTCTTAAAATGTGTGACCTAAAAACATAATCAACTTTCTTGTCAAAAAATAAATAAGCATGCCAACCATAAAATAAATCCCAACCTTCAAGAGTCAATATATCTCTATTAGTTAAATTAATCCAATCACTAATCCAAGTTAAAACCACCGCATCATAATATAATTTTAGATTTGGGGCTTTAAGTCCCCCCCTTTCCCGTGCATCTTGCAGAATTTTAAATTTAACCCTTGGTTTTTTCCCCTGCCAGATGAACCTATTGACACCTCTTTGCCACTCTTCCAAATTTAAATCCTTTTTTAAAATAGGTATCATCTGAAACAAAAAAAGAAACTTAGGAAGGACATTCATTTTAACCACTGAAATTCTCCCTAATAATGACAAATGTAACTTTTTCCAATCATTTAAATCCTTTTGAACTTTTATCCATAACTTATCATAATTATTCTTATACAATTTAACATTAGAAGCAGCAATATAAACACCCAAGTACTTCACCTTTTTCACTATTTCAAAACCAGTTAGGTTACTTAAAGTCTCTTTACCTTTCAAAAGCATATTTTTAGATAATATTTTAGTCTTGTTATTATTTACTTTAAATCCCGAAACTTTCCCATACTGTGTCAAAATCTGTATCAGTTGACTTGTCGAATCAATCGGTTGCAATAAGGTAAAAACCAAGTCATCAGCAAAAGCTCTAAGCTTATAGTCATTCTTACCCAAAGTTATTCCTTTTATAATCGATGATTCATGAACCTGTATTAATAAAATCTCTAAAGTCAATATGAACAATAAAGGTGACAAAGGGCATCCTTGCCTCGTACCTTTCTTAATTTTAATTAAGTCTGTCAATCCTCCATTTACTACCACTTGCGCTGATTGTTGTTGGTAGATAGCCTTTAACGCTGATGAGAATCTGTCCCCAAAATTCATTTTATCCACCACTCGTAATAAAAATTGCCAGTCCAACTTATCAAAGGCCTTTTCAGCATCCAGAAAGATAAGAACCGCCAGGATTTGGTTATTTTTATCCAGATATTCCAACAAATTTACAATTTGTCTAACATTGTTCTTCATATATCTACCAGTTATAAATCCAGACTGATCCACATGAATAATCCGTTTTAATACTTGCATTAATCTATTAGCTAAGATTTTTGCAAAAATCTTATAATCCGTCAAATCTTGATCCTCCTTTGGTATGAGTGAAATAAATGCACTCCTCCATGATGGTGGCATTTCTTCTCCTAAAAAAATGCTATTAAAAAGACATCTCAAAGGTTCTAACATTTCTTCAGACAATATTTTATAATAAATTGCCGTTAGCCCATCTGTACCAGGGGCTTTACCAACCTTCAATTGTTTAATTGCCTCTATGATCTCATCCAACACAATCGGACAGTTCATCATTCCTTTTTGGTCATCTGAGAGTCTAGGAAAATTTACTTGTTGAAGATAGCTATCTATTTCAGAAATTTGTATATTATCAGAGGCATATAATTTTGAAAAATATTCTGAAAAAGCCTTTTTAATCAAATCTTGCTGAAAAACCTCTTTACCTTTATAATTTATTTTCTCTATAACTCTTTGTTTTTGTTTCTTTCGTAATTGATAAGCTAACAACCTTCCAGGTTTGTCTGCGTTACAAAATGTGTTATGTTTCATATATCTCAAGTTAACTGCCACTTGATCAGCCATTAACATGTTAAACTGTTCTTTCAACATTGCAATAGATACCTTTAAATTATTATCTATTGGATTTAAGGAGAAAGCTTTTTCTTTTGCCTTTATTTCTTGTTCTAAGTCCCTGTGCCTTTGTAGTTGCTTTCGCCTATAAGCAGTATNCTCCAAGTCCTTTTACTTCCACCATCCATTAAAAATTCCATCCATACAGGGCTATGATCTGATAAAGTCCTAGGAAAAATCTTCACTTTTTTAACCCTAGAGATCAAATCACTAGTAATCAAAATAAAATCAATTCTAGAGTGAGATTGATGTCTATCTGAAAAAAAAGTAAAATCACTTTCTCCTATATTCCAATCTCGCCATATGTCTTTTAACTCCAAATCCTCTTGCAATGCAAAAAAACTTTTAGGCAATTTGGTTTGAGTTGAAGCTTTAGAAAAAGTTTTTTTTTATCTCTTTTAGGGTCTATTACACCATTCCAATCTCCCATCATAATAATAGATTTATAATCCAATTGTATTATCTTTTGATG